GGAGGAGGAGGAGGAGGAGGAGGGTGCATCATTCGAAGGGAAAGTCTTGCTATCGTCGTTTTCAGGCTTCAGACTGACGTGGTCGCCGAGACGGGGAGTGGGTTTATCGGAGTCCATGGCTTCTTTGGTCTTTGGGTTGGATAGCGTGCCGCGGACGGAGGAGGAGTGGGATGTGTCGACCATTGTTGCTGACCAGGGTAGTTTTTTGTTGTCCAGGATGTATGATGTATGGTATGAAATCACAATGATGGTTGACCGCGGAGTAAGAAATCTGGGGAAAAAGGGCTGGTTATGACATCTAGATCTTACCTGTACCTCGGCAGCTACGCAGCTACATCATTGAGAGATAGTGCGTGCTTTGGTGGTGGGAATGCTTGATGGAGTGTCTAGCGCGTGGGCATGACGTCTTGCATTGTGAGGCGCGTTGTCACATGAAGATCTTGGTGATGATTTTGCGCGTTTTGGATTCCTTCAAAATATTGATCGATTCGAAGACTGTTTGGGCCCATTAATTGCAGGCCTTGGAGTTGAGTTTCTGAAGTGTTGACGCCTATTGTGGTCATGAACGAATGAGGTTGTGCTGATGGCTTACAGAGCGGCGGAGCTTCAAGCTCCCCACAACCCGTCCTGCCGTTACACCTCGGCATCTTTGCTACCCCAGAGTCTCGCGAGCTCCGCAGTTATGTCCTCAATGAACGCGAAGGCAGCACACGGATTTCACACTGCAAACGCTATCAATGCACCATCATGGACGCGAAATATTCCCACCTATTGTCTGTTCCCTGGGCCGCTGCCTTGATTAACGACCCCAACTGGACGCCGATGGAGACCAGCTCGCGGTCAGTAAAGCCATCAGGAGAAGACTCCTTCTTCGCAGGGACGCTTGGCACTGATCGCACAATAACAACGCTTCTTACGTTTCGTCCGAAAATTGAGGAAACAGGCGACATCGCGTACAAAGAGATCAGAACCATCGTGGAGCTAGGCGATGGGCTACAAGGCTACCCCCGGATCGCACACGGCGGCTTCCAGGCAACATTGCTTGACGAGATGTCAGGCGTCTTAATCGGGACGGTCATGGAGAAGAAGGCGCAAAGGGCAAGCAAGGACGGTCGCCGCGCGCCTGTCGCAAGCTACGTTACTGCCTGTTCGTCTATACCATGCATCAACACCGAAACACCAGCTGAGCACAAGCAGATCTAAACACTACTTACAAGAAGCCGGCACCAACCCTGCAGAAGCTTCTCTGCACAGCCAAGATCGAACGAATAGAAGACGGTGGTCGCAAACTATACGCTCGCGCGACTCTCGAAGACGGCAACGGTACGATATACACCATCGCCGACGGCATGTTCATCAGACTTTCGACCAAGCTATGATATCTCTAGATGATCATGCGCTCTGCGCGGGGATAGGCAGTGACCCCACAGTACTACTATGTGCCACGGAATATGCTAGAGGCACCCGTCGAAATGTCTGGGCATCTGCATACCAACCTCGACAGTACATGGGCCACCACAGCGCGTACTACGCTTGTACATGAATACAATATCTCATCTGCAAAGTCGCACCGCTCGCGTGGCCATCTGTCATATTCGCTGCTTGTCGGGAGTTTGGTCGCACGGCATCGCGCAACACGACTGCCGCGACCCTGCGCAAAGTCCGAGAGACGGCGAGCTGTCGCGCTCCTCAACGCGCATCTCAACCCCTTTTGCAATACTGAATGCTGGTACACTACGATTCCAGCCTACGAATTTCAAGGTTTCGTTCAAGATACCCTCTTAGGCAGGCGTGTAAAGAATCGCTTGAGCTATTCACCTGCTCCACCACGAATGGGCTGTCCGACTTTGACCGAAGTTACAAGCGTACATTCGCTTGACCTCCTGTATTGCACATTCTATTACTTTTCCATCGACTTGATGCTCAGATTTTGCCATGTGCGAAGCTACTGGGTCGGCGCCTGCTCTTAGTGGCAGATAGCCCGAAAGTGTAAGTCGAGTCTAGCCACATGACTGGTCATAGCCAGATTCTTTTAATCTATCTACCCTGACCCACATGATCTACCCTGTGCATGACCGTCGCCTAGGCCCGGCTCCTGTGCATCTGGGGTATTCGACGAGGCGCTTGCCATGTTGCAATCTCAAAGCATACACCTAGGAAATTGTCTCCAAACATGGCGTTCGGCCGACCTCTAACCAGCAACAGCTCCACGATGCCCAGACCTAGGCATGTCCGAGTCTGCAAACGACACTACACTCCGTGGCCAACGTTCACGCGCCTGACTTCCCCGCCGTCATTTGCGATCTTTCACTGGCGCCGTTTCAAAACAAGTCTGTTCCAATCAGGCAGGTCAAAAAGAAAGGTGTCGGGCTTGCCTTCACGTTGCTTGTCTCGCGGAAGCCTCACAAGACTCTCTGCATTCACCGCATCACAACTATGGGTGTGAAGTGAGTGCTCTGACGTCTAAGAGACTAACACATGAGCACGCGCGCTTGAGGCTTATGCTGCAGGGCAAGATCATAGGGCAGACTCATGCAGTGCGACGCATGGCATTTCTACCCAAGACTACCCCACATTTAGGCTTCGTGGCGAACTACTGTTGACGGCGCAAATCTGGGGTCTTTAAGATTCATGACCGCGGAGCCAATTGCCGGCTTCAACGCTCTGGTCTTGGCACTAGCGTCCGTCACATGCTTCCAAGGTTTGGTCGGTGTTTGCACAGTCACTGGACAGCGCTTCACGGAAATAATATGCGTAGGGCCGTCCCGGTGACCAACGCTGTATCGAGGTTAGTTGCATATCCCCTGAGTCTTCTCACAACTTCTGCTCGTAGCTCACCCACAGCATGTGTTGGGCAGCATGTTAGGTTATCATCATCATCTGCAGCTATTCATGTTCAGATAGCCACTGCAACTTGCGGACGTAAAGCATATCACACTGCTCACGAGAATGGAACAGGCTGTTCTACTTACCAAACAACACAAAACACCCTTCGGAGATGTGGCTTGAAAAGGAAGGGCGCGTACCTACACCCTCCCTTTCCCCAGACTATGTTACTCAAGCTAAGACATCTCGAAGCCGGGACCGAAGTAAGCTATGTAACCCTTCAAACGGCAACGGGGGTAGCCGCCTAGTGAGTTAGTCTTCGACAAGGCCTTATGACCTCCTAAGTGGTAGACGGTGAGTATCTCATCACCGGATGTTGCTAGCTAGCCAGTCGGCACGCTTCATGGGGAGCAGATCTCCAAATGATCGCGTGGGTGTATGGTTCTTTCTCCTATCACGCACTGCCACGACGTGTAGCAGTGAACAAACGGGGAGATTAAATAGGCATCATGTCTCCCTCTGAGACTTCTTCTCGCTACTACAGTCTACACTCCTTTGTACTCCTCCTCTTTGTGTTCTCACTGAACATACCATTATCTATTGGCATATACTCACGGCTATGCATTTGTCCTTCTTGCTCACCTGCCTCAGTGCAGTCGGCATCCAGGGTGCTGCTATCGGTAAGCGAAGACCGTTTCCCTTGAATAGTTTCGTTACTGATACACTATAGCACGCTTCCCCAGACAGATAGTAGTGAATGATACCGAGCCTACCTCGAACATCAGCAGCATCCAGGGAGTTGCTGCTATCACGGATGGCTACTGGCTGAACGACCTCTCCGGCAATGGAAGAGCCGCCTTCAATGCCAACGGCGCATACAAGGTCTTCCGCAATGTCAAGGAGTACGGAGCAAAGGGTAAGCTACTTTGCTTTTTGGGTTTCAGCTCAGATCTAACATCTTCATAGGTGACGGTGTCACCGATGATTCCGACGCAATCAACCGTGCCATTGCCGACGGCAACCGTTGCGGTCCCGGCGTGTGCGACTCGGCCACTGATTCCCCGGCCGTTGTTTACATCCCCTCCGGAACGTACCTCATTGGCAAACCCATCATCTTCTACTACATGACTCAGCTCATCGGCAACCCCCGAGGTCTTCCTGTTCTGAAGGCTGCTCCTACTCTCCAGGCCATTGCTCTCATCGATGCCAGTCCTTACCAGAACAACGGTGCACCCGGCTGGACATCAACCAACATCTTCCTGCGGCAAATCCGCAACTTGATCATCGATGGCACAGCTGTTGCACCAACCAGCGGCTTCCAGGGTATCCACTGGCCCGCTTCGCAAGCCACAACCATCCAGAATGTCAAGATCCGCATGACACAGGCATCGAACTCAGTCCACGCCGGTATCTTCGTCGAGAACGGATCTGGTGGCCATATGGCTGACCTCGACATCGAGGGTGGCTTGTACGGCATGAACATTGGAAACCAGCAGTTCACCATGCGCAACGTCAAGATCTCCAAGGCCGTTACTGGTATCTCGCAGATCTGGGATTGGGGCTGGTTGTACGCTGGTCTTACTATTAGTGACTGCGGCACTGCTTTCTCCATGAGCAATGGTGGCTCGGCTAATAAGCTTGAAGTTGGCTCTGTTGTTATCATCGACTCTGAGATCACCAACTGCCAGAAGTTTGTCGATATGGCATGGACTCGTAACAGCGTTCCTACTGGTGCCGGACAACTCATGTTGGAGAACATCAAGCTCAACAATGTACCCAACGCTGTTGTTGGTAACGGAGCCACTGTTCTTCAGGGTGGTACCTTCACTATCCAAGCTTGGGGTCAGGGAAACAAGTACGCTCCCAATGCCAACGGCCCGGAGAAGTTCCAAGGAACCTTCACCCCTGTTGCTCGTCCAGGAGGCCTTTTGGACGGCAACAAGTACTACGCCAAGTCGAAGCCACAATACGAGAACCTCAACTCTGGCGACTTCATCAGTGCTCGCGGCAGTGGAGCCACAGGTGACGGTCGCACCGACGACACCCAGGCTGTTCAGAATGCCATCAACAGGGCAGTTTCTTCAAACAAGGTACGTTCCCTTAATCTTGTCATCTCCTATCGCCAGACTAATCACATCCCAACAGGTCCTCTTCTTCGAGCACGGTGTCTACAGAGTAACCAACACAATCTACGTCCCCCCCGGCTCCCGCATGGTCGGCGAGACCTTCCCCTCAATCATGGGCTCCGGCTCCATCTTCTCCAACAAAGACTCCCCCGTCCCCATCATGCAGATCGGCAAGCCCGGCGAAAGCGGCCGCATCGAATGGTCCGACATGATCGTTCAAACCCAAGGCGCCACCCCCGGCGCCATCGTAATCCAATACAACCTCAACACCTCCCGCGGCTCCGGCCTCTGGGACGTGCACACACGCATCGGCGGCGCCAAAGGCACAAACCTGCAAGTCGCGCAGTGCCCGTCCACCGTCGGCAGCGTAAAACCCGAGTGCATGGCCGCCCACACAAACGTACACGTAACCAAGGGCGCCAACGGCGCATACTTCGAGAACAACTGGTTCTGGACAGCCGACCACGACATGGACGATGCGCGCAGCACGCAAATCACCATCTTGACCGGCCGCGGCCTGCACGTCGAAGCATCGAACGTCTGGCTCTGGGCCAACGGCGTCGAACACCACGCAAACTACCAGTACCAATTCAACGGCGCATCCAACATCTTCGCCGGCTTCATCCAAACAGAAACACCATACTACATGCCCACGCCCGACGCTTCCAACCAGCCCTACGGCACATCCTCTGCCTACTCCGACCCCGTGTATCCATCTGGCGCCTCCGCCTACGGCCTGCGCGTGCTAAACTCCAAGAACGTGCTTGTGTACGGTGGGGGTTTGTATTCCTTCTTCCGCAATTACAGCACTAGTTGTTCGAGCGCGGATGCGAGTGGCGGGGCGCGGATATGCCAGAATAGGATTTTTAGTATTGAGGGGGACAGCAGTGTGCAGGCTTTTGCGCTTAGTGAGGTGGGCAGCGAGTGGATGGTTACGGTGGATGGGGTGGATAAGGCGAGTTGGAGGGATAATTTGAGTGTTTATTCGAATACTATTGGGTGGCTTGGGTATAGGGTTTAGGGTTGAAGAGGAAAGTTGGTAAGGGGGTTTGGGGTTGAAAGGAAGAGGATTGTATATATGGGATGGAGGGCGGTGTTTGGTGTTTTGGGTTGGGGGATGGATTGGTTGGTTGGCTACGGTCGCTATCTTTCTGTCCGGATGGGATGGAATGGAGTCTTGGGTTGTATACTTCTGTTGTTGTATATTCTTTCTTACTGAATGCAAAGGATCAAAACTTATCGGTTCTTCGTCTCTCTCTCTACTCACTAATGGTCTATGTGGTACCCCACCCCTAGTAGTCGTCTTTCTGCGAATTGGAATCTGTGTTCCGAACCTCACTCGCTTCGTTCAGCTGATCAATATCGACATCACCTGCGCGTTAGGGTTAACCTTTCACACGTGCGACATCGGCGACCACTGCATGTAT